GGTTAACGGAGTGCGTACCCGAATCCTGCTGGACACGGGGGCGGTGGCCTCGCTCGTGAGCGCAGCGCACTGCAGCGCGATCGGGGTCGACGTGCGTCACCTGCAGGCACCGGACCGCGCGCTGCACACGGCGAGCGGAGCCGGAATGGGGCTGCTGGGGAGAGCCACCCTAGAGGTCCGCATAGGCAGTCAGGTGTGCACCCAGGAGTTCTACGTGTCGAGTGCGTTGTGTCACGAGTGTATCGCAGGTACCGACCTCTTAGAACGGCTGGGACTCAACGTGCAACCCCGCCAGCGATGCGCCACCATGGAGAGCAACGGCGAGCGGATACCGTTCCTGGGACGAGAACCGACGCGCCGCCGCTTTGCACCTGTGGCCGCTATCCTGACGACGGCAGTCACCATCGGCCCGCTCACCGAGATGCTGGTGCCGGTGGCAACATCCCCCACCGACCCCGCGCTCCGACCATCAGGGGAGGTAATGCTAACTCCTCACCCGGAGTTGGCAAAACGGTATGGGGTTGTGGGATCCGCCACGTTGGTAAACGCAGATGGGGACCGATTGTTTATGCGGATGTTTAACCCCCACAATACCCCCGCGATACTGCGACGGCGCACCCCGATAGCCACAGTACACCCCCTGCACGCACGCCACTCTAACGACTCGGTGTTCGCACTCTGGGCTGAGGACCCCGGTCGTCCTGAGGGTGAGCAGGACCTGGCCTGGCGAGTCGGCCCGACTCCCCGAGCCGAGGTCGTTCCCCTGCTCGACGCGTTACATGTACCATGGGCGGACTTACCTAAGGGAGAGGCCGATCGGCTGCGCGAGTTACTGCGGGAGTATGCCGACGTGTTCAGCGAACACGACTCGGACGTGGGTCGGACCGACCTTGTTAAGCATCAAATTGACACCGGTGCAGCCCGACCCATCAAACTCCCTGCGTACCGAGTGGGCGCACCCGAACGCGTCCAAATCAAAGAGGCAGTTGGGGACATGCTTCGCGATAACATAATTCAGCCCTCGGCGAGCCCCTGGTCAGCCCCGGTGGTACTAGTAACGAAAAAGGATGGGTCAACCCGATTCTGCGTCGATTACCGTAAACTAAACGCAGTCACGCTCGGCGATGCCTTCCCCATACCTCGCATCGACGACACCTTCGACAGTCTCGCAGGAGCGCGGTATTTTTCCACCCTCGATCTGGCGTCCGGTTACTGGCAGGTGGAGATGACGGAGGAGGATCGGCCAAAAACAGCATTCACCACCCCGATGGGCCTGTTTGAGTTTCGAGTGTTGCCGTTCGGACTCACTAACGCGCCCGCGACGTTCCAGCGGTTGATGGAGTTGGTGATGCGGGGCTTGCAGTGGGAACAGTGCCTGATTTACTTGGACGATGTGATAGTGTTCAGTAGATCTTTGTCTGAGCATTGGTCCAGGCTTCGAGAGGTGTTCCAGCGGCTGCGAGCGGCTCATCTCAAGCTCAAGCCACGTAAGTGTTACATCGCACAACGCGAGGTGGGGTACCTCGGGCATCGCGTCAGCGAGGCAGGCGTGCGCACCGATCCGGAGAAGGTACGCGCCGTAGTGGAGTGGCCACGGCCAAGGAATCTGACGGAGATCAGATCATTTTTGGGGCTCGCCACCTATTATCGTCGATTTGTAAAGGGATTCAGCGAGATTGCACGCCCCCTCACCCAACTCACCTCCCCTAAGCACCCCTACCAGTGGACGGGGGCCTGCCAGACGGCCTTCACCACTCTCAAAGACCACCTCACCCACGCCCCCACCCTCGCTTTCCCCGATTTTACCACCGATTTTATTTTGGACACCGACGCCTGCAGCAGCGGGCTGGGCGCGGTGTTGTCACAGGTACAGGATGGGGCGGAACGAGTCATCGCGTACGCCAGCCGGACCTTGAGTGGGGCCGAGCTGAACTATTGCGTGACCCGCCAAGAGTTGTACGCCGTGATTTTCGCATGCAAACAGTTCCGACCGTATTTGTACGGCAGGAGATGTCGCGTACGCACTGACCATTATGCTCTGCAGTTTCTTCTTACATTCAAGGAGCCGCGGGGGCAGATGGCCCGGTGGTTGGCGCAGTTGCAGGAGTACAACCTGCAAATCGAGTATCGGGCTGGCCGGACGCATGCAAACGCGGACGCCTTATCGAGGCGACCCACGGTGTACGCCGAGACGAGGGCGGAGGAGGCCTGCCCGTGTTTCACGGCGGGACGCTGCCGGCAGGCAACGGACCCCCGAGAGGCCGCGGCCACTGACCCCCCCCCAGCGAGGGAGAGTGCAGTGTGCGCCACAGAAACCCTCACAGGTGGCACTGAGGATCCCGTCGACCGCCCGGCAAGCGCGGGACCCGCGGCTCGGGACCCGATCGGACGGATCCAGGAGGACGTCGGCTGCGCCTTCCCGGGCCTAAACGACGAGCAGCTGAGACAGACCCAGCAGCGAGATCCGGATCTGGCGGCAGTGGAGGCGGCACTGCGGGAGGAAAAGAGCGCCCTACCAGGACCCTGGAGCGGTTTGTATGCCCGGTTGTGTGTGCGGAACGGAGTGGTACGGGAGTTAACCGAGGCCGGCCAGCCGGGGGGCATCTGTGTTCCTGCCCAGGTGCGACCCCAGCTGCTACGGCTAGTGCATGACCACCCACTCGGGGGCCATGATGGGGAACGGCGCACCCGGGAGACCCTGCGTCGCCAGTATCTCTGGCCCAAATTGGCACAAGATGTGGCCGCCTGGGTGCAGGGCTGCCGGGCCTGTCAGCAGTGTGGGCAAAAGCCGGCGAGGTACCAGGTACCCCTGAGGCCGTTCCGAGTCAGTCGGACGAATCAGTTGGTCGGAATCGACCTGCAGGGGCCCTTTCCACGATCCCACCGGGGCAACCGATATATTCTCGTAGCGGTGGAATACTTCACCCGCTACCCCGTGGCGGTGGCTATCCCAGATAAAACAGCCCTTGTAGTGGCCCGGGCCTTCGTGGAAAACTATGTACTTAAGTGCGGGATCCCCGAACGAGTCATTACCGACCAGGGTAGTGAATTCGAGGCCGAATTATTTCAGGCGCTGTGCCGAGAGTTCGGGATCCAGAAGGACCGAACCACGGCGTATCACCCCCAGGCGAACGGGATGGTAGAGAGGATGAACCAGACTCTGGCCGGGAAGCTTAAACGCATGGCGGCCGCGAATCAACAGGACTGGGACGAACACCTTCCCTATGCCCTGTTCGCCTACACCACCGCCGTTCACACCTCTACAGGACAGACCCCGTTCCTAATGATGTTTGGTCGCGAGTCTCGCCTGCCCGCAGATCTGCTGTTCGGTGTTCCTCCGCCGCAACGGGAGGAAGGGAGCCACCCCGTGGAGCACTTGCTGGAGACCCTGCGAGGGGCCAGGGGCCGAGCCTGCCCGCACGGAGAGGCCGCGCACCAGCGGCAAGAGCAGGGCGCCCGACCCCGTATGGAGCCCCCCTTCTACACTGCGGGCTCCGAGGTGTGGCTGTACACTCCCCGCGTCGGTGCCGGACAGGTGGGGAAGCTGACCACCTACTGGCGAGGACCCTGGATTGTGAGACGGCAGATCTCACCATGGACGGTGCTGATTCAGGGAGGAGAGAGGGGCCGGGAGATGGTGGTCAACATCCGCCGACTGAAGCCGTGGCGAGCAGCCCCCGAGGGGGGGAGCCCCGCCGTCCAAGTACCCCGAAACCCCGGGGTCCCCCCACCCTCCGTGCCCGGGGGCCTCGCGCAGTACATGGGCCCCACGGAGCCCCGGGCTCCGAGGGGCCCCGGGCGGGGCCGGGGGCGACGAGGACGGCGACCCTTAAACCCCACCGCCTCTGAGTTTGTTCCCCAGCCCGCAGGTGCCAGAGGCCGAGGGGAGCCGTTGGAATGGAGGAGGAGACCACCGCCGGAGCCCCAGGAGACGGAGCCGCCACCCCCGAGGCCAGCCACAAGGGCCGGGCGAATCCCGCGGACCCCGCGGCGATACCTCGTGGGGGCAACCCAGGCGAGGTGCTCCAGTCAACCCGGGACGGGGACTGGCACCCCGGGGGGCTATGTGGTGCCACAACGACGGGGCCGCTCTGCCGAACCAGGGAGCCGCCCGGCTTCCCCCACCGCACTGCCCCCCATCACCCGCCCCACATAAGCACACACCCGCACGCATTCCCCCCCCCCCCATAGAGCTGGAAGGGAAGGTCACCTGATCGACCGGTTTTTATCCGAGAGACCCTTATCGGGATTAATTCTCACGGTTTCCGGCGATCAGGGAATTGGATGACCTCCCCGTGCTACGTGGCACCGCGGCGCTGCGGCCGGCCTTAATATGGTAGGTCGTGGCGTGGGGCATTCGGCCACCGCGGTTGAGGCGCATTTCCCCCCACACACACTCCCACGGGTCGACGGGGCGAGCAGGGGAGGCACGGGACAGCATGAATAGCGGGGTCACAGGGGCTGTTGCGCATAGTCATGGAGGGTTGGGATAATTGCGCTTGAGCGCGCAAGCCCCATTGGTAGGAAGGGTAAGGGAGTAATTAGGATTTACGCCTTGCACGCAGCACACTGATTAGCATATCAACAGCGCCTGGGGACTGCCGTGCGCGGGCTTGGGGTGCACGAGCCCATTGTTCAGCGCAGCATCCCCTTTGGGAGGTAGGGAGGATAAATAGAGGAGCGCAGAGGGGAAATCGCTCTCTTACTCCAGCGCCAGGCGACCAGACGCAGCTCGAGCCAGCGACCCGGACGTCCGTGCGACGCACCGAGGCACGCGGTTAACACAAGGATCAGCGGACCGCCGTGGACACTTAACAGTGAGTAAGAAGGGGAATTAGAATCATAGCCGATAAATAGGGAATAGGTGCCGGTTTAGTGGAATAGGCCAGCCTCGTCGACTCACTAATTCAACATTAGTTATCAGGTAATAAATCATTAATAGCGAAGCGTGGTCTCGCGTGATCTTGTCGTGCAGTGTGAGCGTGTGGGAACGCGTGTGGTACTGTGTGTGCGTAAGCTCGCAGCGTGCGTAATCGGCGTCCCCCAGGTGCGCGATCATAGCGTAATCGGCTGCGCATTGTTGTACGGTTTATCTCGCGCGCACGGCGGCGGCGACTTTAGTCGTTGTGTCGGCGTGTGCCCCGCTTGCGTGTGCTCGTTACGTGTTATAAGTGTGAACGCGTGTAGTACGGTGTAGGCGTAAGCTCTCGTCGTGCGAAATCGGCGTACCCCAGGTGCGCGATTGTAACGTGAGCGGCCAGCGCGGCGCAGAGAAGCGCAAGAGTGAGTGCCGTACGGAGCTGTGTGTGTGGGTGTGCGCGTACGTAATTAACCATGCCTGCTACGCGGACCCGCGGTGGAGTGGAATCCTCGGGCGACGGCTCCCACCCCATGGGTGAGGAACTTAGCAGCGGTTCGCTTAGCAGCGGGGGGGCGATTGATGATGCTAGCCCGGCCGTTAACATTATCGAGGGAGGGATCTCGGGGGCTAGCGACCCCCACAGTAACTTAAATAATTGTATTGTTAAATCTGAAAACCGTAATTGACCAAGAATTGTGGGTGGAATATAATTTTCAACTGGCTTTTGAAAAGGTAATGAATATTGCACAGCAGTAGTGACCTTTTATCCAGTTTACTGATGAGAACATTTTAAACATCCATAGCTGTGGTGGTGCTGTAATCCTCTTGAAAACCAGACTCTGCTGTGCATGAGATTGTGAGCTTTTCGGCAGCAGTTTATTTGGGATGTATGTTTTTCGAAAATTTTAGTAACTTGATTTGAAGCTTTCGTGACTGCAGGAATCCATACTCTGGTTCTTTCGGTAAAGTCACGTAGATAGAAAAAAGAAAAATATATATCACGACGTGTCGATCGCAACACAAGCAGTCGTCCTCAGAACAACACAAGCGGTCGTGTGCCTCGGAACTGCTGAACCTGGTTCAGCCTAGTTCAGCAGTTCCACTGCTGGATAATTTTTTTCCGCCTGAGGACGACCGCTTGTGTTGCGATCGAAACGTCGTGATATATATATATTTTTTATTTTTTATACCTACGTGACTTTACCGAAAGAACCAAAGAGTATTTTAGTAACTGTTAAAAAAGAAATATTGGTCTATAATTATTAGGATCTTCTTTGAAGCCATTTTTATACCGTGGACAAATTAAAGTAGATTTCTACAATAGTGGAAATGTAATGGGGAAGGTGAGGCACTACTGCGACCAGGATTGGTTTCAACATGCAAACTAATCAACAATATAAACATGTATTGTTTTTTAATGTATTTTATACTAGAGTGCTGTGCTAAATGGCGTTACTAGCATGTAGATATTTTTGCATGTTTGTGATTAATGTTTAAGCTACGAGTAACAGGTGGATACCTATGAAACAAATATCATGAATTGTGGAAGACTGCAGAAACAGAATTAACATAAGATTGGAGATGCCATTGTTTGAGAAAGTATGGGGGTTTGTGTCTGATGGATGAGGTAACAGTGTCGGTGAGTTTGCTGGGTTGGGTGACAATGGGGTAAAGAGACAGCAGAGTTACTGGGTGGGAGACCAGAAGCAGTCTGCTCTACCGGTCCTAAACAGTTGCAGCACAAACAGCAGCCAGGGGAGGACCACTCTCGAGTGGGAGCTGATCCCAGGGCCTTGACCGCGATCCGACAGCTGAGCTCTGGCGGGTTGAAGATGCGCATGAGGTCCCCGAGCTGGTGGAGCGGCACGCCGCCCATGCAGCTGCTGCTGGAGAAGGGGACGCGCACCTTGGCCGCCAGCTGCTCGGCCTCGCCACGCGTGCGGCCCAACAGCGCCTCCACGCTGAAGCCATTGGTGAGCAGCAGCGGCACGAGCACCCCCCAGGCGTGAGCCCCATGTTGAACACCCCCACGCTGGCCTGCGTGGCTCCCTCGCTCGCTCGGTCCCAGCTCCTCTTCCTGGTCTCGAGCTTGAGTCTCTTCTAGGGGGCGGGCAGCGATACGGAGGAAGAGTGGCAGACAGCCGAAGAGGGGGAGACAGCTGAAGAGTGACAAATGATGGAGAAGTGGGAGGATGGGAACATGGAGAAGGAGGAATGGGAGGGGATGGAGGATACTTGAGGTGGTGGTGGAGGAGACGGTGGATAATCAGAGATGGAGGAGCTGGAGGTGGTAGAGGAGCTTGAGATGGTATAGGAGGAGCTGGAGGTGGTGAAGGAGACAGATGGCGATGGTGGAGCAGGAGACGGAGGAGCTGGAGGTGGGGGAACTCACGAATCACTCACCCCTCACTCGCCCATTATCCAACCATCAACTGCCCTCACTCACCAACCAATCAATCAACCATCACCCACTCCTCACTCACCCATCACTCACCACTCACTTAATCATTTATCAATCTCTCGCCACTCGCCCACCACTCAACCATCAGCCACCCCTCAACTATCATCCAACGGTCACTCACCCCTCACCAATCACGAAAACATAACTCACCCCTTACCCCTCATTCACGACTCGTGTAACCATCACGCACTCGCCAATCACTCAAGCATCACCCATCCCTCACTCACCCCTCACTCACCACTCACCCATCACTCACCCATCACTCACCTGCCCCCTTTGTCTCTGTGTATGGAGCAGCCCCACCCAAAGCAGCTGTTGGGAGAGTTGAGCAGGGAGGTGACCCGGACTGCGACCATCAACCGTCCAGTGCGCGCATGCCCCTCGTCAGCAATTCGCCCGAAGGTGATCTCGCCAATAACATTTACAATTTTTATTATTATCAACACGAATAATTTAGCACATTTGGCATTCACACCCTTCTTGTTCCATTCCGGGGATCTTCATCTTTGTCCCAATTGAGTGATTTCTGGTGTAACCTTTTATATTTGGGCCAAACCTGGACCGTGACGAGTGACGTCGTGGGATCTTTAACGTTTACTGCCAAGTGAGCGACGCAGGCTATTTTGCGAGCGTGTGCGGAGTATTATCGGCCAAACGTCAAGTTGCTACAAAGGTCACCTGGCAAGTGAAAAAAAATATTCCCTTTTCTAAAGTCGACAGACCTTCACTTCATTGGACACCTTTTAAATGATCCGTCATCTTCTGCTTCCCGAAATTTAGATTTTCGTAACCTCTGAGCGTGAACGACTTCTGCCCCTCTTCATCTAGGGCAGGGATCGGTAACCTGCATCTCCGGAGCCGCGTGTGGCTCTTTAAGGACTGCTTCGTAACGTTATTTATTCAGGACCACCATCTCCTATTCACCACACAGTGCATTACGGCTCTCGAAAGATTGAGTTTCTTTAACCGAATACATTTTTTTATCTTGTTATTTTCGTTACCGTCCTCTGGTCTAGGGCAATATCTTGGTCAAGGACCCCATGGCTGGGACCGTGCGGGTAACAGACTTTGGTTGCAGCTTCCATGAGACTTCTCAAAGTAAGTGACCTCAACGGCATGCATGAGTATATGTATGCACTATGAACCTGGCGACCCGAATTCAATTCTTGCTCATGAGCAACACCATTCGCAGCCGTTCCCTGTTCATCTTGGGGTGCGACAGCATCTGGCTCCTGCATTGTTTACATCATGTTCGACCATGTAATTCGAGAAGCCTTCTATGGCTGTACCTGTGGAATTTTAATCTGGTACAGATACAATGGGAGGCTGATCCTCCTGGTCAACCATGTTATGCACAGTGATGATCTGGTGGTTGCTGCCCACTGATGAGTTGAAGGTTCTGCTGCTAAACCTGCAGCGTGCCACTAAGAGATAGGCCTTACTATCAGCCTCACCAAATTAAGCACCTGCTCATGTATTTTGTATAATCCAATACTCCACTGAGTCAACTCCCCACCGTGATGGTGCAGTTGTGGAGAGAGTAGAGAAGTGTCCATACCTGGGCTGTGTGCTCATGACCAACTCCAGATTGGCAGCAGAGCTCTCACTCCGAATCAGTCGAGCGGCATTATATTTTGATCAGCTGCTTAATGCTGTGTGGAAGCTACCTGGTCTGTCACTCGACACAAAGATCACGGTATTTTCGGAAACAGTCTTGCCCTTCCTTTTCTTTGCTTGCGGAATGTGGACCCCTCTCATAGAATATCTGCACCGGTTAAAAATTTTCAGGTTGGCCTGCCTATGATCCATTTTGTCAATCTAGATTTGACGTTTTCATGACTGCAGGGATCCATACTCTTTGGTTCTTTCGGTAAAGTCGCGTAGGTATAAAATAAAATTAATTAAATCACGACGTTTCGGTTGTAACACAAGCGCCCGTCATCAGGTGGGACAACCACAGCAAGAAACAATTGCTGAAGTGGGCCCCTTCAACCCGATAGCCTAAGGGAGGTACACACTCCCTTCTAGCACGTCCTACACACTCCAGGCTACTCTACACACCGGTCCCTTGCCACGGCGGCTAAGGGAAGACTGGACCGACCCGTCCCAGGCAGGGTACGGGGCTCACCCCTGGTCCGCTACACCACGGCTCTGACCAGAGCCTCGGGGAGGGTCCCAGGGTGTCCGAGCTACCTCGGGTCCGCCACAACCCGGCTCTAACGAGAGCCTCGGTTGAGGGTTCCCGGGTGCTGGTCCAGTCTTCAGGTCTTCAGATGTCTTCAAGCTTGAGTTGGCGAACACTGCTGGACCCGTTCAGAGGGTCGGCTTTTTATCCCCAGGTTGGGCTTACCCCTCCCCTCCTGACCCCCCCTCCAGAACCTTCTGGAAGGTCTTAGAGGGTCTTAAATCTTAAGGGGTCTTAGGAAGGGGTGAGGGGAGCCCATCCCCCTCAGCCCCTAGCCCCTGGGGGGTCTGGGGTGTCAACCTCCGGTCACGGGCCTCCCACCTCGCTCTGTCTCGGCTGCCCCCTGTCGGCCCGTGAGCGTGGTGGCAGGTAAGCTCCTTACAGCGCCTTGTTATGGCGCAACACCTACGTGACTTTACCGAAAGAACCAAATATCCATTTTGTGTTTAACCAGGCTGAATTGTGTGAGGAGAACATAAATCCTTCAAAGATCTGAACACATTCCCATCAATCTTAATTTGGAGCTTTCGTGACTGCAGGAATTACTCTTTGGTTCTTTCGGTAAAGTCACGTATAAAGATAAAATAATAAATTAAATAATAGCATACGACGTTTCGATTGCAACACAAGCAATCATCATCAGGTATAAATGAAATAGCAACAAAAATCTAACCAGAAAACTATAGACAGACATATAAGCAGACAGATATCACCAAGATACATAGAGAGAGAGTAACACAGGCACAGAGAGGGAGATCGTCTCTGTGGCGAGGCCTTTAATAGACAGGGGGGCGGGGGCGGAGAGAGGGAGGGGTTAGAGAAAAAATTAACATGTCAATGAGTACGGCGACGCGTGGTAAAGTACGCAAGCTTGAACATTAGGAGAGAGGGAGAAAGAACACACTAAATTAAATAACCTAGCAAAATATCGAAATGTTATGTAATACAACACAGAGAGTCGGTCAACACACAATTAACGCATAGCCTGGTCGATCACGTATTTCAAAGATTGCTAAGTTAGAATTTAACTGTGAAAATTCCGTACTCATTGACATGTACATTTTTTCTCTAACCCCTCCCTTTCTCCGCCCCCGCCCCCCTCTGTCTATTTAAGGCCTCGTCACAGAGACGATCTCCCTCTCTGTGACTGTGTTACTCTCTCTCTATGTATCTTGGTGATATCTGTCTGCTTATATGTCTGTGTATAGTTTTCTGGTTAGATGTTTGTTGCTATTTCATTTATACCTGATGATGATTGCTTGTGTTGCAATCGAAACGTCGTATGCTATTATTTAATTTATTATTTTATCTTTATACGTGACTTTACCGAAAGAACAAAGAGTACATTCCCATCAGTGAACTCCTCCGATGGGCGATGCTGCATTGGTTGTGTCATGTCACCCCGCATGCCCAGCCAGTTTCTGTTTCGCTGGATAGAGGGGACTAAACAGACGCGGTACGGCCTTGAGAAGAGATGGACTGTTGCAATATGGGAAGGATGCGGAGCTAAGTGGACTTGCTCAAGACTCGCAAATGTCATGAAGAACGCTATTGGGCAGTTGGAGGCAGTTACCCTCCAACAACAGAGGGCAGAAGAGCGACGCTCATGACAATGAGCAGAGTGTCGAATCGCTAAAATGCAGCAAGTTGGAAGAGTGGGGGACACAGGTGCCCCCTCAGTAGTCAGCCAACCCAACACCACGGTGGCGAGATTTTAACTACCTCCCCTGGTATACAGGGGGCTGTGGGTACGATCCTGATCCTGACGCCTGTATATTTGGAGTTTGCATGCCTTTCTCCCCGTGGTCACATGGATTTTTCTCTGGGTCCTCAAGTATTTCCCTCTAAATTTAGAAACATGCTTTTAGAGTATTTGGCTGCGATACATTTGCACGTGATAAGCAGCTTCACTGAGCTATCATTTGTAGCCAGATCGCTTCTGAAAAATAGCTAAATAGCTCAGTGGGCCTTACCTGGTTAAATAAAAAACATGTATTCTGTCCTGTGACCTGTCAGCGAGCCTTTGGCACTTTACGTGTCCTCGGAGTGCACCTAGCCTGGCACAAACACCCTGGTGATGTCACCGCCGGTGACGAATGGGGCTGTTGTTGCTGTGTGTGCCTATGCAAGCATGTGTGTGGGGAGTGGTAGTGTAGCAGTTATTGCGCTGTGCTATGAAACCATCAGTTCGATTCCCGCTCACGTTCAACACCAGTGACGATTATCGGAACCGGTGATGGGCCTCCGCGAGCTCCACTCAGCCTTAAATGAATACCTGATGTGATGCATTAACATTGCCATGAGAGAGACAAAGGTGGCCGGGTACGGTGTTGGCCACCCACCACTTTATGCGCCTTTCTGGCCTTTATAGGTACTTGCAAACAGCATTTACCCCAACAGTCTGTTAAAGGCTATATGGGGGATATTTTTCTTTTGTATACTTGTCACTGTGTGTGTCTGATGACACTGTGTGTGTCTGATGACGCTGTGGGTGGTGATACTGTGTGATGTTATTAAAGGCAATACGTGAACATGTGGGCACTCGGCTGTGTGGTGGTAGAGATAGCCTTGGGAAAGCTCCTCTTCAACGACCTGTTCCCGTGCTATGTAGAGG